GGAGAGATTGGCTTTATTAAAGTCCCCAAGAATGATTAAAACAGAGTCCGGGTGTTGTTGTTCTGTCTCTGTGATCTGATCAGCGAGTTTCTGTAAAGCGGAGCTCACGTGCACTTGCGGAGGAATGTAGACACTGACGAGAATGAATGAGCAAAACTCCCCCGGCGAATAGAATGGTTTGCAGTCAATGAAAAGCATTTCTAGATCTGAACAGCACATCTTCTTTAACACAGTTACATCTGTACACCACCTCTCATTGATGTAAAAGCATGTCCTGCCGCCACGCGATTTCCCCGTTAATTCTGCGTCTTGCTAATTAAGTTGTCATCGCACCAAATGTTAGATATTAAAAGAGGGGTGAGATGGCCACTACTGGGTGGCCCCACCTCCCAAAGTATAAAACTTAACAGAATGTGATATAACTAATGACAGACAAAGCAGAATCCCAGTAAAATATATCTGAAAGGTAAAATTATTATATGACTTAAATACATGCATATATTTCATTGCCTGTATTTTAATTGAAGATATGTCATGATAGCAACACTATGAATGCAAATGTAATGATTTCATTCAATTAGCCTATAGATTTTAATGAAAGCAAAGATATCTGATATGTACTTTTATTTCATGGAAATACTGAATAATCACCTCATTAATTACAATAAGTATTACATTTATATACAAATAATAACACTAGTAACAACATGTCACTTGGGGGTCGTATTAGGGCCTACTTGGTTTTTTTTGTTTTTACTTCAAAATAAAAATAATTGTAATTTTTGCTTCACAAATCTAAAAACATTGATGTGTCTACAGATCCCTCATTAACATATAGACACCAAAAATTGTAATATTCAACAATATACAGTGTCATAGATCACTATTTTCCAGAGACACAAAATTAGATAATTCCTCAGAACTGTTTTGACTGAGAAAATCTCACAAATGTTTATATTTAGATAACGGTATAATTAATAATAGCCTAGCCATTCATCAAAAGTGCTGAGATGAGATTTTAGGCAATCTATGGTCAGGGGAAAAAAATGAAGGGGAGATCCTCTTGCCCCAGGGGACATCTTACCCCATCTTACCCTAAATGTTGTTGTTCTTAATTAATAACAAAGGGAGTATCTTTATCCATTTACCCTACTGGTAAAATCTTTAATATCTTGAATGCATTGTAAGACTCGGTCAATCAAATTACTATAAAATAATCATAACAGCACATGCACAGTGACACAAAGACAATACAAGCTAATGCTAATGCCGAATACACACATGTCGCAGTGGTTTGAACGTGAAACGTGGGAAGTACGACTCATTTTGTGAAAACAGAATTTCATTTAAAAATCATAAACTTACCTAATGATCATGATGCCACAATATAAGTTATATATGCTGTAAATAAAACTTCCAAACTTTTTCAGAAAAAAAGAATGTAACGTGGCACAGTGTAACGAGAAAACGTTTCCGGGTGCTTTGGAAGTCGTCATAGGGTCAAAAAAACGCTTCCGTTGAATTACGTCAAATTTTTATATATTTGTATATTCAAGACTACTGAAACACAAGTTGACTTTCACAGACGTTTTTATGTACTCTGATTCTTGATCTTCTACTGAATTTTCTGATTTCATTGTATCTTTAATCATGTCTTTCATAGACTTTAATTCATCAATAAAAACATAACAAAAGCTAATATTTCTAATTTCATTGGTTAAACTATAAAATATTGAGCTAGTTTCACTGAAAAATAATTAAGTTTGATATGTAAAAATTAAAATAAGCTGGTCTTATTGCAAGTTGCTATAGAAATCCTTGTGTCTGATGTGACGTTTGATCCCATAGTGAAATGAACAGCAGTGAATTAAATAAATAAATAAATAAATAAATAAATGTACTCAGACTTACATGAGTATGTGATTCGTAAGCTCCTCTTGGAAATCATCATATTCTGGATCCTGATCCTCAACTGAGTAATTTCTATAAATGATTTCTTATATATTCCTGCTGTCATTGAGTCTTTAATAGAATGTCATGTCTTGAATTCGGTTTATTGTTACTGAAAAAAGTGGCACAAAACTGCAGAGCTTCCAATACAATCCTCATTCTAACCTACAGAGAAAAATTGAAGAGAATAAAAATGAGAAAAAAAAATAATAATAAACAAACTGCCTTTCAAATGGTTTTCAAAAATGAATTAACAAACAGCTGGGATTTATCTATAACAATAAATTACCTTTTTTTCAGATCTGGGCTCAATCCATAAAAATCTGCCTCACAGGTCCTGTCTCTTGTTTTGATCCTGACAGATTGTTTAGTTGCTGTGCGATTAAAAGGTAATATTTAATGACGCTTTGTTGGGAGGAGAAACTGCAGGGAGTGACTAGTTGTCTGACTAGATGAGCAGGCAAATGGGCAAGTACAGTGTTTGGTAAACCTTTCGTCATGACATGGCAAAATGCTTTTGATGCTTATTTTCATCATACTGTTTCTGAAATATACTGAAGCATTCAGTATTCATATTCTGCTTGATATGGAAACTCTCGACAAGTGAGAAGAGCCCAATTCCACGTGTTCATGATATTCAGCGGGTGCCAACATACAACTGGAGCCCTTAGAGTCTATTAAAGAGGTTTGTAATGATTAGGGGACATTTATTTGGAGTTCAAACATTGATTCATTTAAAAGAATCTATTCCAAATGTGTACACCAATTTTTGTTGTCGTTGTTGTTGGTTATGTGAAAACATTTAGTTTTAGTAAAAAGTTATATTATAGAAATATCCCCAAAACATCAACAATAACACAATTTTAGATCTTGAACATATATAAAGACAGTGTCTGCATACAATGAAACATGAGGCTCTTTGCCTTCTGAATGTACCTGTGCATACTGAAGTAGATTTTAAACATACTGTATGTATGTCTGTAGTTTTAAAGCATACTTTAAATTGGAAAAAAAAAATGTTGATGATAATCTGTACAGTCAGAGTTTGTTATGAGAATTTACAGTATTTTCCAGCGTCAGTGTATTAATGATTGGTGGGTTTGATGGAGAAGTTTGCCCTCAGAAACTTCTCAGGAAATGTTTCAGTTCACACTCTGGATCCCTTTTCTCTAGTAAATGAGTTTTGCTTCGCAAATAAATTGATCTTGCTTTAAGGATGTTTAGATATATTTACTAAAACATAAAAATACTGTGTTTAGGTGGCTGAAACACAGTAGGGAAGAGTTCAGGATGCTGCACACAAGAGCACACATTGTGACTTGCATTTGTTGACTTGTGATATTGTGATTTGCATCTGTTTCCAGAGATCACAGAAAATGCAAATCAGTCATGTAGATAATGCAAATCTGTTAAAGGTTAAAGATATGGGCACCATCTACTCATTTTGTGCAGCACTTTTGTGGGTGAACTCAAACAGCAATTTGGTTTATTCATGCATTCCTGTATTAAATGAAAATTATACAATAAAAGTAACAATTATGCCACTCATTTTCATTTAACATATAGATTGTTCAGCTTCTGGTGATGTGATATTTTGGGCGCTTCTGGTCAAATCTTTTCTGTGTGCTTTTAGATAAAGTCTCAATTATCAATAATATTACATCCCAAGCTGAATTGCTCTCATCTCATCACAGTGTTAGACGTTAACAAACTGCTTCAAAATCTTCCCATAAAATCGAACTCTTAAAAACTCTAACTTATGAAGACGACGCAATTGCAGAATTGATGTCATACGGCTCGTTCACTGAATCGCTGGCCGTCTCAGTGATCAACCGTAAAACAGTGATTCTGTCCTAATTCCCTTGCATATTAATGGTGGAGTTCCCTTTAAAATCTTAAATGATTCCCTTTGAGCTAAATTATTGACCTGTTTCCCTTACATAAGATTAAACTAAAGTAAGAGATAGTGTGCATCCAACCGGTGGTTATCGCAGAATAAACCCCGACATCAGCATCTTATAATCTTATTTTATAATCCATTACAGTGTGCAAAACAATCGTCGCAAAATGGCAGCAGCTGCGTTTTTATGAAACGAGAGAGTGAGTTTGTGATACCAGGATGACATAATCAAATATTTGAACAGAGAATATTGATTTGAGTTTTAATATTTTATTAGCCAAACAAACGCAAAGCTTTCACGAAGAAAAATGTTTCCATCAAGCGTATCGCGCCGACTGCAGTTACCCAGTGAGCCTGTGTTATTAGTTTTTACTGGTTGCTATCGGGAATTATTACACGGCCCTGTGGAATACTTGATTCTGATTGGTCAGTCGCGACATTCCGAGGTTTGTTATCCCTCGATAACAACCGGTAAAAGCTAATAACACAGGCTCATCCGGGTAACAGCAGTCGGCGCTGTACTCTTGCTTGAACAATTTTTTCTTGGTATGTTTAGCTAATAAAATATTAAAACTCAATTCAAAATGGTGTACAATTATTTAATTATGTCATCCTGGTATCGCGGACTCGCTCTCGTTTCATACAAACACAGCTGCTGCCATTTTGCTACGATTGTTTTGTACGCTGTAATGGATTAGAAGAGAACTAACAAACAAACCTCTGCTTCGTGTTCGGGTCCTGATCACCCTGTCGGGGTTTATTCTGAGATAACAACCGGCTGGATGTACATTATCCCTTACATAACACACCTCAGAATGTGGTGACTGACCAATCAGAATAGAGTATTCCACAGAGCCGTGGTTTAAAGCAGGTGTTGAAAAATTAAATCACATTGAGGATGGGGGTCATTTGAGTTGTTATAAAACAATAAAGCTCATTTGATAACCATTGAATACTTAATTTATATCAGTGAACATTGAACATTAATTGTTACAGTCATATTTATTCAGTAAGGTTCTTGGCTTCTTGTTCAGTTCATGTAAATGTACAGTACTGTGCATGTGAGTCTCACAAAATAAGAAAAACTATGACAAAGGCTGTTTTGAAAGGGTGATCAATATTGATTTGATTTAGTTAATAGAGCTTAATTGTGGCATAGTTTTTCACTTTAAAGCATTTGTTTTCACAGTATTTTTCACTGTAGACTGGCAGGTAGATCTTGCCACAGTTCTTATAGACACATTTAACTGTCATTATCTGAACTCTCCCACATTTCTGCTGTCATTGTGTCTCAATACATTGTCTAGTTCATCATCACTGTCAAGTATGTCAAGAATGTAGATCTTCTAGTGAAGTCCTCATTCTGACCTGAAAGAGCGAAATAAAATTCAAACATTCAGCCTTTTCATAAATTTGCCATTCATATTTAATTTATATTGGTTTATAGGCATACAGGCATATAGATTTAGTTTTGCGCGTCAGCTGATGAAAACAGAGCATTTTGTATTGTGTGCATTATATCATTGTTGTATTGTGTTTCATATGTACATAATGACACTGAAGTTTGTTCTGATCAGACTGGTTCGTGTTGTTTAGTTTGCGTGTCAGCTGATGTTTTAGTTTCACTAAGGCGTGGAATTACTGTGGTGACACTCAATACTAGGATGCTGAACATATAAACACTGTCAAAGATCTCAAATATATTTCTCTACAGAATTATGCTGCTGATTGACTGATGTTTTATAAGGGATTCATTAATCATATTTGGTAAAGGATGTCGTTTCAATATTAACAGACATAGACAAATATCCTCCTGACTACCAGGAAAAAACAGTTTTGTGAATTTAGTATTTTGTCATGTCATTACATTGTTTAGAGCATAAGAAAAATTGTGAAAAATAAAATTTTTGAAAAATGATATTTTATTCATATGTTATGCCATGTCCTCTGTAGAGGACACTGGGACTTTAAAAAGTCCTGTTTTTTTTATAAAAAGACATGAATAGACATGAAAAGTTAAAAAGAGTGGGATTTTTGTTTTAATCAAAAAACAATTTTCATTTTTTTTATACCAAACTTTATATAAAGATGATTCTCAACTGTGTTATGAAAGATGTTATTAAAAAAAAAAATTTCGTTATGCAAAATGTGTGTAAAATGGCCATAAACAAGTTTTTCCATTATATACAATGTATTGATAAACTGTATCTAATTTGTATATTAATGTGTTTTTGGGGCA